AGCATAGACAATTAAACATCTTCCGAGGTCCAAACTTCACTTTATTTTCTCTTATTATCATCTGTTGCCGTATTGAAGCAGAGAGACCTTAGCTTCAATCTTCAGCAGTTCGATTGCTATCTCCTTTTTCAATCCATAAGCATGACTACCACGGCGGCGCAGATTCCTGAAAACCCTATCAAAACCCTAGTTCACTCCTCCGATCCTAATCCCATCCCTCTTTCCGAACCACCGCCGCACGATTCCGCAACCGACTCCTTGAAATCACCACCACCATCTGACGGCGCCAAAAACCAGCCCGAGAAAGAGGCGGCAGTGGCGGGGGATGGCGGCGGCGGTCAGGCTACTGATATAGAGAAGAAGATGAAGCGAGCGGAGCGGTTCGGAATGCCGGTTCAGCTTTCCGAACAAGACAAGCGAAACACTCGAGCCGAAAGGTACTTTTTTTCGTTAATAATTTTGTTGCATGTTTTTGGGCTTAGCATTTTGCTTAAAAGATAAATTATAAAAAAAAAAAAAGATAAAGTTATTTACCATTATTGGAATGAGATGTTCCGTACTAGAGCGGAATAGATATAGATGATTCATATAGCCAGGGGTGAACGTAGTGTTGAACTTATGAGTTCATCCGAATCCAGTAGGTTTGGCTTGAACCCTGTATATATATTAACAAATCCACCAAATAAGTGTAATTAATAGATTTTGAACCCAGTAAATCAAATGGGATGATGTAGAATTCCAGCCCAAACCCATAATGGTCAAATCCTGAATCTGCTTTTGCATATAGCTGACCTCAACTAGTCTGAGATTGGTTAGTCCGTTGGTTGGTAAGCTTTAGACTTTTTATTTGTCTTAAACGATGGATTGAGGCATAATTGATTGGTTGGCAAGCTTTACTGTTTTGTTCTTGTTGTGTTTATTTTCACAATTTGCAAGGCATAGTAGCTAGCTGAACTCCTTGTTCAAGTTCCTAGACATTGAGGCTTAGTACTGCTTAGTAAACTTTAGGGTTTTGTTCTTGTTGTATTTGCTTCCAGCCTTCCACAATATGTGAAGGCATAGTAGCTGAATTCCTTGTTTAGGTTCATTGATGATGGTGTTGGGAAAATCTTTTGCTATCCTTTTACAACCATAGAACCTATCATATAAAGCTGTCTCCTAATCTCACGGGGTCATAATAGGGAATTGGCGGACTCTATCTTATTTGAATTGCGAGAATAACTATTTAACCGTGCCATAAGGGGCCATTCTCCAAACAATGCGGGACTCGTGCTGGAAAGGTGGTAAAGTTTCCCTTTGCTTTTCTTGTCTAGTGATGTAGTTATCTCTTAGAAGCTTAGCCTTGTGACCTGAAATTGGTGCACGAAACCCAATTAGAGTGGGGTAAAGCAGCCATGACACCCAAGCAGAGTAGGCCATGAAAGTTGAAATGCTAAATAGCTTATTTTGGCTTTCTGTATCCTTCATAAGTAGAAAATATTATTGGAAAGTAAAAACATCCAGCAACGGGTTCCTCAAATTGCTCATCTTTCTTCCAGCTGCCATTTGATTGATTTTCAAGCCTTACATAGTCCAACAGGCATATCTTGCATTGGTACGGAAATGGGATTACCAATAGCCATAGTCACAAGAGTTAATTAGTTTTGAACATAATAATGACATACTTAAGTTGTTCTTTACATCTTTCTGTTGGACTCTGTGTCAGGTTTGGCACTGCATCTGCAGCTCAGGGATCAGATGCTTTAAAGAAATTGGAGGAGCAGAAGAGGAAGGCTAGAGCTGAGAGGTATCTGTACTATCTATTGGGTCACTGCCAGCTTGGACAGTTAGCATTTTTATGAGTTTGTTGATAGATTTTGGTTCTGTCAGGTTTGGGCTTAACCAATCAGACAGTGCTGATGAGGAAGCTAAGAAGAAAGCTAGGTTGGCAAGGTTTACATCTACCGCGAAGGCTGATCCTGTAGAGGAAGACAAGAGGAAATCTAGGGCCCTCAGGTTATAACAAAACTTTTGCACTTCTTTCTTTATTTAGCTTGCAGTCAACTATATCAATGTTATTTTTGCTTACGGCTTTGGTTGATAGTTGATATTATTTTGCAGGTTTTCACAATCCCAGTCTGGTTCCCAATCACAAGAGAATGGCAAAGGGAAAATTGAGCAGGTTTCATTTTCTATACACTTAGTGAAGTTTGTGATTTGAAAAGAATTGGGGAAAAAAAAAGATAATTAGTGTGTGTTTGCTTGAGTTTTCTCTGTGATCAAATGGGTGGTATTCATGTGATACCTAACTTTTACTTATACGACTTCCTAATTATTGCGTACATTCTTTTACTCAGGATACTGTTGTGGTGGAGAAGGCCGGAGGAGGAACATAAACCGCTCTCAAACTTCGTTCAACAGTGAGGCTTGCTTATAATGTATAGCTTATTGTTGCTGCGCAGTGTAGGAGTTTTGTTTAGAGTGACTTTGAATTCCCTAAGGTTTTGTTTTACCCCTTTTTGGAGATTTTCCCTTTCTTTTTCTGCTTGGCAGGTTAGAATTCTAACATTTTGCAAACCTCCCAGTAGCATCTAGAACACTATCCTTCAGATTAGGGTAGCACGGCCTCCTAGTTTAGCCAGTAGCACTAGGATACATGGACAAAACCTCCTTGGTGTCGATCTGTCAGAAGTGACCCATAAAGAATATCTAAAGTGAACTTATCCCAAAAAAAAGAAAAAAAAAACAATATTAGAAATGTTGAAGTTACTCTTTAAATATGCCCTACTTGAAACCTTTGATTTGATGACTTCATCATCGGGCTTTCCTCAATTAATCTGCAATTATTCTCTCACATTCTTCTGGTTTTACCTATCACAAAAAAAAAAAAAAAAGTTTTGTGTTGCATGTCAAGGATCAAGTGGCAAAAGCAATTTGTTTATCACTTGTCCAAGTGCTCAATGTAGTTTTGAAGATATTTGATATTAGATGTTTCTTTTGTCGGGGTAGGTAGGGCAAAATCTTGTTTAGATCTGGATGTTCCTTCATGACTTGTTAGTGAGAAGTGTAGTAGATTTTGAAAGTTTAGAAGATAAGCAATATCCTTAATGACATCCTGGAGGCATCATATGTTAATTCTAGTCTAGGCACACTCTTAGTGATATTCCTAGTTGGCCTTGGCAGTAGGAAAGGTAAGAGTACTTTTTTATTGCATTATGTGGTTGGTACTGCATCTTTGTTACTTGTCATGGATCTCCTGAATGATATTAAGGGCCTTAAGTTTTCTTTAAGAAAAAAAAAAAGAACCACTTGATTGTGCTACATGTTTGCAGAGTTTTTGATTTGAGCAAAGTTGATATTACTGACAGTTACTGCCCATATGGTGATGAAGTCATCAAAGCCATATTTATAGTAAAATATTTAAGCTGGTGCACTTGCGTGTTATTGATGACTTTTTTAGTAAGGTTCATTAGTAAAAAACTATTTTAAGGTTCTTGTTTCAGATTTTGTTGTTGTGGGTCATATGAGACAGATTTACACCAAGGAGGTGTTCAAGTACCTAGTATCACTGGGTGAATCCTTTAGGCTGTAGTCAATAGATGTCCAAATTAGTATAGAATGACTTTGAAAGCAACTGCTTGTTCTTTTTTGTGCTTGGTTAGTGAAGTTTAGTTGCAAGTAGTAGTACTTTTGTTTCTTGAATTCTAAAGACAGTAAATTTACATTCTGATTTTGTACTCTACAAACTTTCATCAAGTGTACTACTTTTGTTTCTTGAATTGTAAAGACAGTAAATTTACATTCAGATTCTGTACTCTACAAACTTTCATTGCGCTTGTGGTGGCTTTTCTTCTTTTATTTACTTGTTTATGAATGTTCAGGCCAAAATTACTAGTAAAAAGCTGTGAATGTTACAGGCCAAAATTTGAGGCTCGTTAAACGTGTATAAAAGTGCCTACAGGGAATTGTTGAATGTAAATTCAGGTCTTGTAAGAGAAAATGGAGACTCCAGTTGGACTAAAATGCCTTGATTAATGACCAGTGACTGGTGCTCATTTCAGGTTTATGGACTGTGATGAACAGTTGATATATTCTGTTGGTAGGGGTTGGTTAGCTTTGAAAAAAAATGTAGAGGCGCCAAAGAACTATCTTCGGTGTTTACATGTTCATATCCGATTTCTTGTTTTCGTTTAACTTGACTGTACATTGGAATTTTGTTGTAATTAAAGAGATCTATGGTTTATGACCTACCAGAGGTTTTCTACGTAGTGAATGATTTTGTCTCCTTGTTACCTGTAAAAAGGCAAGTGAAATCCACCCTGTAATGTACCATTAATTTGGTAGTAGTAAATTTCCTGGTACAACCTCCAGGCTCCAGTAAACGGAGAGTAAAATCAAAGAGCTTAGTCTAGGTGAATTGCTAAATGGTTGTGGTTTTGCATTGATTGTTTGCTATATGTAAAGGCATTCTGATCTGGAAAGATCCTACGGTATTACCAAAAGTTACAAGACATTTAATTTTTAGAGGCAATGCTGGAGTTCTACTGTTTCATATGTGTCGTCTGACATGCATGAAAGGCTTATATTATAATTGCAACGCTACAATCCCAAGCAAACTGGAATTGTTATATGACAAAATCTTCACTGTTATTAGGCGAGTGAAAAAAGAACTTGTTTTACGAATTTCTAAAGAGAACTTGTTTGTCAAATGAGTAAAGAAATTAGACAATAGGGACAACAAAGGACTAATTGTGATAAGTTGAAATCGTTGAGTTTAGAACCTTAAACAAGCTATTGGTAATAAGCCAGAAATACTAGACAAAAAACAGGTAGTTTCATATCTACAAATTGCGAAAACTATATGCTATAACAAAGTGATTTGAACATTGAAGAAGCAACGATCTCGTCCTAGCTTTTATTCTTGCTGCAAACGATTGCAATATTACTTTTTGTGTGTTGCTGTTTTCGCAATATCTCGTATATCTTTTTACGTTGCCAGTAAGACGAGGCTAGAACTACACTGCACAGGAAGTAACAATCAATTGAAAATCAAGCAATAAAACAACGCATAACAATTAAATTACAACCCCCAAATCATAAAGAAACTAAAAGGAGTAAAGACACAAGAAATGTGGCGCCCAGAGCTTTGATCAAGTGGTAAGAGACGTGATATGTGGACTAGGCGCTCACGAATTTGAACATTGCCAATCGTGGTATTTAAGTGGGAAAAGTAGAGGAGCGAGTCCATTATTCACTGAGTCTCAAACCGTGCACTAGCTTGACCCTCGGGCATTTCTTGGTTATCAACAGAAAGAAAAAACACACTTTAAGACATTTGAGGCCTCCAAAAGAGAAGCTCTCTTTTTCGGATGCTGGTTTGCACATGTGGTGGTTACAGCATGTTCTGCTGTCTTTCCAAGTGGGAAGATTAGAGTGAGAATCTCGGAGTCTTGGGAACTAACGTTTGGGAGAGGCGGGCATACCTCCTCCTCCTCCTCCTCTAATGGAGAGTATTGGACTGTGAGAAGAGCTTCTATTCATGGAATACGGGTCCATAAACACAACCACAACCGTGATATCATCATGGAAATGCCTCCTTACACCTCGTTCGATCTTCTTCAGGTCTGAATATCTCATTTCTCTTTTCTTGGCTGCCACTCGAAGAGCAGCTTTGATTAGTCTCCTTGCTATCCCCTGGTCCAACAATAAGAAAAAAGCACACCCCGAGTTAATAATCCCATTTAATCCGAAACGTGGAAGAACACTGACATTACTTAAGTCTGAGCAAGAAACAGTTCCTTTCCCTCTTAAAATTTGTAGATAATGAAGTTTTTACGAAATCTATTGTACCAGAAAGCCTCTTTCAATGAGTGAATGTGCTTCTGTATCATGGACTCTTTAGATTAACAACAACAAAAAAAAAAAAAAAAACAGCGGGATCCCACAAGTGGGGTCTAGGGAGGGTAGTGTGTACGCAGACCTTACCTCTACCCCTAGGAAGGTAGGAGGCTGTTTCCGACAGACCCTTGACTCGGGAACGATGAAACAAAGCAGACTCTTTAGATTGTTATTTAAAAGATAAAATCCTAATGAAGGAGAACATAAAGGGCATTATCCGCTTACATTTCGGGGTTGACTGTGGACTATATCAACAGCCTCCTGGTTGCTAAGATGTTCCCAGAGACCATCTGAAGCAAATATGAGGAACTGATCCTTGGAAGTCAGCCTGTGAATGAATATTGATGGCTCCGCACTGAGGATTGGCGTAGAGAAGGACTCGGGCAATCTAAACTTTGCTAATAATGGTGCCCGATTGAACTCTGCTCTCTTAAGATAGGCATCACCAATGGACCTTGAAACCTGTAAAAAGGATAACATACGAACATCAACTCTTATGCCACACACGATTCACAACACCTTAGGAACGGCTTTCTTCAGAGTAACTTATATAAGGCACATTTGGGGAAATCAAGAATCAACACCAGATGGCCAAAAAAGTTAACTCTTCTACAAAATAAAAATAATCACCTGTATGATACCCTTGACACGCCAAACTTTGTGTTTGAGAAGCACAATCTGCGAATCCTGGGGATGCAATGATCTAAGCTCATCTCTCACAGACTCATTATTAGCGTTGTGCTCCATTGACAATTGAATAGCTGTCACACCCCTTGCACCTTTTTCTGCTCTACCTAATACCACCCGTGAATCTCCGGCATTGGCAATATATAGTAGTCCACTGCAGACTATGCCCACCAAACAGCATGATCCCACTGATGCAATTTGTGGCTTCTCAAACCATTGTTGCCTGACAAGTGACAAAAACTCCTCTTCCGTTGTCAAGAAAGCTTTTTTTATGACATCCGCAGACATTTCTTGATGTTCTGTCGCAAATTCTGCAAATGAAATGACAAATGTAAGTAGAAAAGACCTATAAGTGTTTATTCTACTCCACAAACAACAACAACATACCCTGTGTATTCCCACATGTGGGGTTTGGGGAGGATTCTACTCCACAAACATGAGCTCAAAACTTACCAGAATATGAAACAGATGAAAATGATTTTTAGGGGATAATCACAAATATTTTAGGAGAAAATTTTGATCTTTCTGCGACAAATTTTAGGGTGATGCACATACTGAACACCGATCTATCTGTTCAGTCTAGTAGGACATGTATCACCTAAGACTACTAATTTGACTTAGCTTCCATTATGTGAGCGGACAACTGAAACTCTCGCTCAAGTAGTCATGTCTCCAAAAGTCATACTATGAGTATTTCATTTGGCCGGCCTACTTGTACAGAGACAAAAGAAGTGTTGAATGTAGAAAGGTTGAACGCACAAAAGTATTGAGGATTCAAATACGAGAATCTGGAGATGGCACCATATATATCTTCCTAGTGTACCTCTACTCGAGTGTTATTGCATGTAGCAAAAGTTTAGTCATCACAATATTTCTATTCTAAGAGGAAAATAGCAAGCTGAGATGTTCAACTGTGATGACAGTTGTGTTTGACGAAACTAAACAAAAGTGACCGGCCAGATCATATATCTCAAAACTTATTGTGTTCCGATTAGACACCAAATTGCATTCAGAGCACCTCCTAATTATAAACTATCCCATTAGCTAATACACTGTCAGAAAGCGTTAAAAGAGCTTATTTGAGAAGAAAAGCAAGTGGTGTCTGATTAGCCAAAAAAAATAGCCTGGAAACACCAGAAGTTGAATTGAAAGTTCTGTAGTGTTTTCCTATATTGGACGGACTCTCCAAAATGCTGCCGCAACCGTGTCGGATACTCCAAAAATGCATTATTTTTCACGCACCCGTCGACATTTTTTGAGAGTCCGAGCAACATAGGTGTCTTCAAAGTGGTAAGTAAAGCAATATCGTAGTAAATACTAGAAATTTGACAAATAACTTAAAAATTCTCTATCAAAAATAGTCACTAGACAAACAACCTGACCCTTTTTAGGATTTATATCAAAACTTAAACAGCATTGGCATTCACAGCCTTGTAAAAGTCAAATATTGTGAGAAATCACTCCATTCGTTCAATCAAATAAATCAATTCCACATAAAAGAAATACCATAGCATGAACAAGACACATAAACTATTTTGAACTTTCAACATAATATCAAGAGAATCAAAACAATAACAAACATTTATGCAATCAAAAAGCTAACAAGACTTACTCTTAAGATTGGAGAACAAAGTGTTGTTTACGAAACGCGACGTCTCCGGTCCTCCATGTCCATCATAAACTCCAACAAATGTTCCATTTGGACCTGATTCAAGACAACTCAATGGCCCTGATTCAAGTTGACTTTGATCCTCCATCAAATTATTGGCTTGTATAGTTCCCATTGAAAATTCTCCATTTGCATGAACCCCTAAATCCTTATACCACATTAAACCATCAACCCTACCCCTAGAATCACCACCCCTCCCTTCACCATCCCCCTCAACATAAGGCTTCCAACAAGGCTTAATCATTTCTTTTTCAGACAGAACAACAACAACAAACCGAGCGTAATCCCACAACTGGGGTTCCAGGGAGGGTAATGTGTACGCAGACCTAACCCCTACCTTGTGAAGGTAGAAAGGCTGATTCTGATAGAAACTCGGCTCAAGGAAGCAACCAACAATAACAACAACAAGAAAAAAACAAAGACACAACGCGAATTTCTATCAAATTACATGTATATGTGCTTTATTCAAAAAAGTCTACCAATCTTGATAAAGTTTGTATCTTTTTTAGCCCCTTTTAGGTACTTACAAAATTTATCCAAAAGAACCAGCAAACAATATATTCATCAAGCCTAACCTTAGCTCCAGTTTTTGTTTATGTTCAAAACCCACAACCCCAATTCTTGATATTATACCCCCACCAACACAACAAGGCCTAGACACCATTAATAAGCAAAAAAACTGATAAAATAGGGAAAAAGACCAAAAGGGTATGGGCAAAATTGAAGAAGCAATATGTTCCCTAAGACAAGAAAGCAATAGTTTTTATTTGAGTTCAGAGAATATGGTACAGTGCTGGGTTTTTTGCATGCCTTGAACCTGGTTTACAATATATAGGTGGACCTTACCATAAATATTTTTGTGTCAATTTTCAACTACAGACTTAGCTGTTAAGAACACATAAAAGATTGATGGTGACAGAGTTTGTTCCTGGATCAGAGGGATTAAACAGGGAATGGATAACAAAAATAAAAATTTGGGTTTTTTTTGTGGAAGTTTTTCTTTGGGGTCAGAGGATCTTTTGGATTGGTGTCAGAGAAGATCTCAGAATATGATGTAGAGAGACAATATTTAGGGCAAAGAAAATCTTTTTATTTATATGCTGACAATTTCTTTTTTATTTTTTTTATTTTACTATTTTTGTAGCAGAACCCCTCCTATTTTCTCTCATTTTATTGCCTTTTCTCTCCTTCTTGTTTTTGAATATTTCAAGTAATTTTGGCCATGTTGCTTTCTATGCCTTTTAATTTTTTAATTTCAATCTCTCCATTCTAATAGACATAATAAATATAAATTTATATTTATTTTCAAGTCTCAACTTTATTTTTACCCCCATCTCACCCCACAGGACGATCAATAGCGTTACCGCTTACCCTCTATCATGACTCGAACCCTTAAATCTCAATTAATTTTGAGATGAAAACATAATTAATAGATATTTTATAGAATTTTCATCGTCTCAAATATTAATACGATAGCCTAATTAATAAATTCGCGATAATATGCATGTAAAATATATACAACCAATTAGTTATAACCATAAGTAATTCTTTTATGTGGCAAAATTATTTCGTACATATGTTGGTGGGAGCTAGCAGGTACTCGATGAATAATTGAAGTGTGTTCAAGCTGACTCGGACGATACTATTATAAGAAATAAGACATAAATAAATTCGTCTCACAATTTTTTTTCTTTTTAAAAAAAAAAATATTTTAGGGGCAAAAGCCTCCTATTTTCTCTCTTTTATTACCTTCCTCTCCTCCTTGTTTGACTATGTATCATGTTACTGTGGCTATGTTCCTTTCTAGTCCTTTCTTTTTCTAAAATTTCAAGCACTCCATCCGATTAGACCGGAATAGAAATAAAGTATATACCGAATTTTAACTAATTTTGAGATTGAGGCGTAACTAATAGATATTTTTTAAAGCAAATTTTCATCATATCTCTATTAAACACATACAACTAATTAGTCAAAAGTCCGTATTCTATGTTGTGAATCAGTTAAAAATGTTTTTATATAATTTTTAAAATCCAGTGCAAGTCATGCTCTATATATTATTATACTCCACAGATCACACCTACAATTAATAAAATAAAGTTGTTGGTATTACTGTGTTCAAAATCAGAAAAGTAAACAAACGTTAGTTCAATAAACAAAACGTAAAATAATTCATAGCCCACTGCATGCACAGTGTGTCCTTAAGGAATTTAATTCCCTCACTGTTGCCCAAGGTATACGGATTAATTCCTCCCAGGATAGAACGGAATAACTATTCTGTGATAGCGGCACTTCAAATCACAGAACTTCAGCGAACTCAACAAACGGAGCAAATCACACTTGACACTTATGTTTATTTAGAAAATAATGCAACAATGTAGAAAAGAGGGGAGAAGATTTCAGATATTCCATGTCTGATTTCATGTCTTAAAAAATGAAGCCAAGCCTCTAAATTTATAGACAAATGAAGGGTGATGGAGAGGTGCAATCTAAAAGGTGTCTCTTCCATTTCTCATTCACACCCCTTAATAAAAACGCAACAATCCCCCACATGAATGGGGAATGGCATTGAGGAAAAACATGCATGAAAATACTGTGTGATTCACAAATAAGGATTAATCGCATCTGGATAAGTATGTTTCCCTTTGAACTTTCCGTAGTGAACTTATGTCGGATATACTCGGTCAATCGGTAGAATTGATATCTTTGAACCGTTGAACTTTGGTGTATACCTAGACAACCATAAGTCACACAATTAACCCTTAACCGTCTTTAGTTCTCACGGTTGTGTTCGTTTCAGCCATGAACACCGCCTGGTTTCATGAGTGCTTAGAGAATGGGCCTTTACTTTCTTTCCCCTTAAAGCGGCTTACACTTAACACTCACATGGGTGATTTCTAAACGTGTAATCCTATAGACACACTATCTGGTCATATCCTGCCAGACTTAGAAAATCATTAAAAAGCTTTAAGCTTTATTGACTCATCAAAAAGCCTTAATGCTTTACCTTGATTTCTGCACATTGTCTTTATCACGAGAATAGGTTGAGTTATTTGACAATGTTGAACCGTCATTCATAACTTTGTTTAATCTCTTTGAACTTAGCTCTTGGGATATCCAGTCTGCTAGGCAGAGTTACCGCCATGATGACTTGTCCTAGGCCTTAGCCCCATTCCCTTCAATGATATTTCAACTGCCTCTCTAGATAGACCTTTTGTAAGTGGATCTGACACGTTATCTCTTGACTTTATGTAGTCAATCGTGATAACACCACTAGAGAGTAGTTGTCTAACGGTATTGTATCTCCGTCGAATGTGACGAGATTTTCCGTTATACATAACGCTCCTTGCCCTGCCTATTACCGCTTGACTATCACAATGTATACACATAGGTGCCAAAGGTTTGGGCCAAAATGGAATATCTTCCAAGAAATTCCAGAGTCAGCTTCTTCATGTCTAAGGCTATAAACTCAGCCTCCACTGTAGAGTGGTCAATACACATTTGTTTGAACGATTTCCAAGACATCGCTCCTCTACCGACTGTTTAGAATCGATTGAACCGGTGATCTAATTTGCATCACTATACCCCTATATTATCGCGAGATACTTATTGTAGTGCAAAGCATAATTTGGAGTATATTTCAAATACTTCAAAACTCGTTTAATTGTCATGAAAGTTCAAATGCAAACTTTCTTCTGTTGTAGACTAATACGTCTCGACTTTCGATTGCATATCAGATTATTGACTACACTTAATGTAGTAATTGTAACAACAGCTGGAATGATTGGCATCAGTTGTGGCCACAATCTTTTGATATATAACACATTTCGCAATCATTCCGTCATTTTCAAGCATTTGTATGCTATTCATTCATACGTCTATATGATATGCAAATTATAGCACCTTCATTCATGAAACAAATCTAACTTGCAATAGATTTTGATCATGTTCATCGGTTGGTTCACCTTATTATAGACCAACATATTAATACGTTCGTTCATGAACGATCATGTTTATACAAAACACACAAACACATCTTTCTATGAAAATTCACAACCTTCAAAGTGACATCATTCATAAAAGAACTAAACAATATAAATTTTCAATAAAGAAAATGATCTTTCGAGAAAGGCACGTGACCAACTTCCGAATTAGTAGTTTCATCAACTAGTCTTCATTAAGACTAAACAACTGATGAATTTACCAACTACTATATCAATGGGGTTCAAAAATTATATCATTTAGACATTACGTCTAACATTGGCTTTTGTCATGCATAAGCTAAAAGCCCCCACATTTTAAAATATTTAAGTTGTGCTTCCTTCCATTCCATTTTTCATATGGAATGGATTGCGTCTTGCTATGGGGAACTTGACTGAGTATACAGTTATTTGAAAAAATAACTTTCCCCCCACAAGTTCTGGGGTAAACCAGAACTTATCAACAAGGCATTCATCGTCTCATTTAACGTTCTACTCATTCTTTCCGCAATTCCATTAGATTGCGCTAATGAAGGGACAGTCGTTTGGTGAATAATGCCATATTCCAAACATATTTCTTCAAACGCCGCCTCTATTGCTTTGTAGAGCCAATCACATGAACTGTTGTTTGTGTCATTAACAGAGCCAGAATAAATGGTGAAGTTTTTAATATTCAAACCAATCTGACACCATCAGAATTAATAAACGGTGAAGTTTTTAATCTTCTAACCGAGTAATACCTGATACCGAATCTAATACACGGTGAAGTTTTTAATCTTCAAACCGAATAATATGTGGCACAATCAAATTTAATAAACGGTGAAGTTTTTAATCTTCAAACCGAATAATAAATTGGATTAAAAAATTACTAAGATTTTAATCTCCAAAACGAGTATAAAGTCACTTAGACTTTAATTTCCGACAAATGAGTAGAAAGTCACGAAGACTTTAATCTCAACGAACGAGTACAAAATCATGCAAATTTTGATCTCGAAGTAGGAGTAGAAAATCACGGAGATTTTATTCTCCATAACGGGTGTAGAAAATCACGAGAATTTTAATTCCCTTTCCAAATGATTTTCCAACTAAACCATTATAACACTTTAAACAATTTGATCTCTTTCTCTAATCAAACACATATATGTTCATCTTTACATATATTATATTTATGATCTCAAAAATACTTCAAGTATTAATGTAAGCTTACATGAAAATATTCAAGGTTTTCAAGGCCTTCCACCCCAAACAGTTAACGAAGAACCAATGAATATTTTTTGCTTGATATCTGACAAGCCACACCAAACTGACCATACATATATCACTTCTATTTCCTTCATAGTTACAAGAAATATGTATTTTTCCATGGCTAGGACCTATTAGATCATGCGTACTATTGGATATCGTATATATCAGAAGCAAAAATTTTCTTCCTTGTTACATGGCTTTTCTAGAGCAAATCACAGCTAACGTTTTTCAAGGCAAGAAATGTCGTGCCGTTATAATCTGACCCAATAGGTGCGGATGGTTGAATGCACCATTTCACAATTAGATCCAAATGAGTATAAACAAATGTGTTTACTAAGAATATTTTAAATCACATAGTCATTATATGATTATATGTGAATGATATGTTTGATGAAATACTCCAGCAATTACCAATTTATAATGCTAGAAAGAAACAAATCAAGAAACACAAAATTTGCCAAATTCAGATTCGAACATATCAAAGGCATTCCAGAAAATTTCAAGAACAAAAAGTTTTGTACTTATCTGAACTTGTTTCATTCGAAGCATTCCCACCTGCGAATACTAAAATATTCTTCTCTAAAATTGCATGGCACTATATTGAAATGCTATAACACTGTTTCCGACTTTGTCATTTCCATGACGTTTTAAGTCTTTCTTCTTTCTGTCTCCAACAAAAAGATGTTAAGACGAACACAGAAAAATAAATTCCTTAAGATTGTTGGTATTACTGTGTTCAAAATCAGAAAAGTAAACAAATGTTAGTTCAATAAATAAAACGTAAAATAATTCCGAGCCCACTGCATGCACAGTGTGTCCTTAAGGAATTTAATCCCCTCACTGTTGCC